AAATTCAATACTCTTCTCCAGCACCACAGCTAAAAGGTGTCAATTCTCCTTCTGTCCTCCCTAGTCATTGTCCAGCTCTCTCTATAAATATAGCCATATATAAGAAGAAAAATTAAATCCTTAGAAGCTATGCATGAACATCTAGATTAACTGATTTAAGATTGTTTTAAGAAAAATTCTGAGAATGCTGCCATTTTTTTTTTAAAAAAAAAGAGGGGGCAGTTTAAAGACAGTCTAATTATAAACTTAAAGGACCACTGTTATTAAACAAAAGCAAAGCAGTATTTTACATTTTTAGTATTTTACATATCTAGCAGATGTTAAGGAATCCTGGTGGTATAGGCAAAATCGTGAAACAACTGACTGCTACGAAAATGTTGGCAGCTGGAACCCAGTAAGCATTCTGTAACAGAAAGATGTGTCAATCTGCTCCTATGAAGATTATGACATTGAAAATCCCATGCAGGAGTCCTATAGGCTTGCTAAGTCACAATTAACTTAACGGCACACAGTAACAGCAATAGCACAAAGCTTAAGTACATGATGCATATATAGCAAATGTTATGAATGAATAAATTATCATAAAGAGACGTTTTCATTTCAACACAGACCTGTGTCTTAATTGGTTTATTTATCTAATAATGTGGCCACCTTTTTAAAAACAGTTTGCAATTGTTATGAATTATTGTTTGAAAGTTGAACAATGACTAAGGAGGATAGAAGGAGAATTGATGTTTTTGAGCTTTGGTGCTGGAGAAGAGTATTGAGGGTACCATGGACTGCTAGGGAAACAAACAGATTCATCCTGGAAAGGATTAAACTGGGCAGCTCCTTGGAGGCAAGGATTCTGAGGCTCCATCTAATATACTTTGGACATGTTATAAGGAAGGACCGGTCCTTGGAGAGGGACATCATGCTTGGTAGGGTGGAGGGACAGCGCAGGAGGGGAAGACCCTCTATGAGGTGGACTGATTCAGTGACTGGGGTAATTGGGATGGGTGTATCAGAGACGGTGCGATTGGCACAGGACAGAGCAGAGTTTAAGGCTGTTGTACATACAGTATATAACAACAACAACAACATATAAACTGTCCCTAAAAGCACAGTAAAGTTTGCATTTGGGAAGGGCACGTTCATGGCTTCTTCAACATTACTGCATTAAACGCTTCAACCTTTAGAGTTAATCTCCACCCACTAGATGATAAACTGAAAATTCATCACTGTCAATTCTACCTAATGTGACCCTGTAGGACTGTGTAAAACTGTGCCATAGTTTCCTAGGCTATAATCTTTAGGGTAATAAATTGTCACATCTTTCTCTCATGGAACACTGTTGAGTTCACAAACATGTAATGAGTGTGCCACCAGTTTTCTGTTCAATGGCATAAAACCCATTTTTCTAATTGTGCTTTAGAAATAACAACTCCCTCTCCCCCTCTCTCCTCTTCTCATTCACCTATGTATACATTTGTAACTTGCCTAACATTTAATAGAATATCAAGCAGTGAAGTGGTAGGTAGCAAGTGCTTCATAGGAAGGAACAAGTTGAGAATGTGCATCTCAACTATGACACTAGCTACAACTTAGGCAGTTAAACACATACTTCTCTAGGGTTATTATAAAGTCCCTGATGGTGTAAATAATGATACACTCAGTTACTAATTAAAAGGTTGATTGTCCAAATCCACCAAGAGATTCTATAGAAAAAAGCTCTATCACGGATCACACGAGATTGCCATTAATCAGAATTGACTTGGCAGCAGATGGTTTTTTGGGTTAGTTTTTTCTTAATGCTCTTATTTTGGTTTGGTTTAAGATCATTATAAAAATTGATGATATGATGAACCTAAAGCATTCCTGAATAGTATTATATCTGAAAAATAATAACTTATAAAAGGTAAAAATTATATAAAATTATATAACTAGCAGTAGGAAATTAGTTAACCAAATCAAAACCATTTTAGCAGAAGATTCATTGACATTATAAATACCTCTGTGTCAAAGAATAGGTAACAAAGCAATATGTATATTCCGAAATGGACTGTGTTAAATATGCACTGAAAAATAATAAAAAGGTACATGTGTCATCAAGGGTTTATTGTTCAAAATTACTTTCTTAGACATTGATTTTTACTTGGCCATGTGGATATGTGAGAATATGTGAATAGGGCGTGTTAGCCTATATGTAAGGGAATTGGCTAGTATTGCCACACCACTGTGTCAAATGCTATTAGGGTCACCCACAGTGGACAGGTTTTAATAGTACTCCCAGATTAAAACAGCCTAGGAAGCATGATTGGCCATCTACTTCATAAAGAATAGGCCTCTGAGAACTCTACAAACAGTAGAGCTGATTCAGTGGCAAATTTTTAAAACTCCCACCACCAGCAAAACATTAAAAGAATCAGCTTTGGGCCAGAGATTCTTGCACCAGAAGACCAGGGCCTACAAAACATACTAGCAGCCACAGCAGAGAACCAGAGACCTGGCATGAGACAGAGCTGACCTTGGGACTGCTACCCCATGAAGAAGAGCAAAGAATGTTTTGTCTAAGTGTTCTGTAGGACTGCTGAGCAGAGCCGTAAATGACAGAACTAAAGGTTTTGTAACACAACTAAAGGTTTTGTAACACTTGCATAAAGTTGTGAGGCTGAAGTGCCAGTGAACACATTTCTAAAACTGTCCTCAGTGATTGTATCTGCTACCAACCTGAATTATAGCCTTTTCACTTTCCTAATATGGTTCTGTGTGGTCTGTGAGCTATTGCAATGAATTTTGGTCACAGTAGAGGAGTAAGATTGGTTTAAGGATGAGCAGAAAGAGGTGCAAGGGTATGGAGGACGTGTATGACCTCATGGGACTTGGTTTTGTGCTATGGATTTTATTAGTGGGGACACTTACCCTTTGTACCATTATCAGAGGTCAGATATTGTCATCTCATGCAAGTCTTGTTCTTTTTATAGTATAAATCACCATATAAAATTAAGTTCTTGGAATAATGAGCATGTGTGTACTTTTTATTTTACTCTCTTATACTTTTTAATTTCTCTGAAAATGTTTAGCTAAAGTGTAAATTTTATTCTTTCACAAATATGATAAACAAATTATTGAAAGATAACTATAATTTTATGCAAAACCTATACTTGGACCAGAAGGCAGTGGTTAGAACAGAGCAAGGGAACACAGAATGGTTCAGAATTGGGAAGGCTGTATGCCAGGGATGTGTCCCATATCCATACCTTTTCAATCTATATGCAGAACAGGTTATCTGGGAGTCTAGGCTCTATGAGAAGGAATGTTGCATCAGGATTGAAGGAAGACTCATCCAAAATCTGTGTTATGCAGATGACACAATCCTGATTATTGAAATTGAGGAGGAGCTGAAGTGCTTGCTGCAGAACGTCAAGGACTGGAGCCTTCAATATGGATTGAATGAAGCTCAACACCAAGAAAAAAGGATTCTCACCACTGGGCTGATTGTCAGCATTGTGATGGATGGTGAAGAGATTGAGATTGTAAACAGCTTTAGTTTGCTTGGCTCAACAATCAACACTTTTGGCACCAGCAGCCAGGGAATTAAAAAAATGTATTGCCTTGGGAAAGTCTGCTGTCAGATAACTCTCCAGAGTACTGAAGAGCAATGATGTCAGTCTGGAGACTAAGGTGTGCCTAATACAGGCCAGGGACATTGCAAGCACCTGCCATGCATCAGAGAGTTGACAATGACTAGAGATGATAGAAGGAGAATTGATGCCTTTGACTGTTGTGCTAGAGAAGAGTACTGAATATACCATGGGCTGCTAAGAGAATGAATAGCTTAATCCTGAAGAGGGTTAAACAGGCTACTTCTTGGAGACAAGGATTCTGAAACTTCATCTGACATTCATACTTTGGACATATTACAAAGAGGAACTAGTCCTTGGAGAGGAACATCATGCTTGAGAGGGTGGAGGGACAGTGAAGGAAAAGAAGACTCTCGATGAGATAGACTGATTAAGTGACTGGGGTAAATGGGGTGTGTGTGTTAGAGACAGTAAGACTGGCACAGGATAGATCAGAGTTTAGGACTATTATACATAGCGTTGCTATGAGTTGCAAGTGACTCAACGGCATATAACAACATCATCATTTTGTAATTGTAATGAAAATACAAGAATTCCCTGTGGTACTATATTGATATTAAGTTTAAGGGGTTATGAGTAAAAGCTCTCCTGGGACAAGTTTTAAGGAAAATATGAACTGGATTAGTATTTCAAACGTAAAGACAGAACATAATAAGTTCAACCCAATTAATGACAGTTTAAACCTTTAACATATTTTTTAAATTTAAAAACTTTTATACTATTGGATTGAGTTTCATAATAAATCTATGATACTAGTAGGTCTCATATTGTTACAGATGAACAAACTGAAGTTCAGAGATGTTTAGTAACCTAAGCCCGAGGTCACACACCTTGTTAATAAACATGAGCTTAAATTCCAAACCAGGTAATCCAATTTGAATTAAAGGCTCATTTATACTTACCACATGTGTAATTTATTTTTAAATTATAAATTACAGTTCTAGGATTCTAGAAGACTACACCCCAGGGTTGGGACACAGCTAATTAAAGAACCACCAAAGAAAAGTTGGGAAAGTGAGACAGGCTATTAATCTACATCAGGAACAAGGTGATCACAGATTGAACTCAGGACCTGTGAGTCACCTCCATTCTGGAAGTGGCTTAAAGAACGACCTTGAATGAAGATCTTGAAGAAAGAAAATAAAAAATCTGCTTTCAGTAAAAGGAGTGGAAATGATCCAGTTCATTTTCCAGGAAATGACACAAGTCACCTGATCAATAATAAAATCAAGTCTAGGGAAGGTCTTAAACAACAAGGTGGAGAGACTGAACACATGACAAGAACCAAAGCACGGGATCAGCCAGAACAGTTGGCTGGTGGTGCAAAAAAAAAAAAAAATTTAAAAAAGGAAATAAAAGGTATAAAGAGATGCAGGATAAGAGCAAAAAGACAGTGTCTATAAATGAAGACATCAGTTGTGTTTCAGGGGTGGTAAACATAGGGTCTACAAAGTGAAAAAAGATTGTCCTGAAAACAATATTTGGAGAGGAGCACTGTCAAGACAGGCTAGAAACTGCAGAGCTGAAGCAAGATTCAGCTCTCCCTTGATAACCAAAGCCATAATGCCTGAAAAATAAGCTCTATAAAGGGTCTACACATTCCACCAGAAGCAGCAATTATCAGACCAAACTGCTTATGTGTGTGTAAAGTTAAGAGTTGTTTGAGTAATTTCATCTAGCACCACATCAGAATTTCTTAACGTGTTTTCACGTTTTGAAATAGTCATGAGATCCAGTTTTCCTTTTCGAACCAAAAAAAGTGGATACTGTGTTTGTCTCAATTTGAGAATTTGCAGAATAGCCAAAAGAGAGAAAGAAGGGGAACATACACACACAAAAAGATAGGGCAATGTTGGGGCAACTGTGAAAGATGATCTCTTTCCCTGCTTAGTTACTCTCAACAAATTAGTAGCAAAAATGAGACAGGAGCCAATTTGATGTCCCTCATGCTGCTAACTGCAGTCTTACTTCAAAGAGAAAATAACTAACTCAGTGATCAGGGCAAATGGTAGAATCTGAAAATTTATAAAAATTATTAGTGTCCCTGATCCTCTTTCCCGCTCCTGTTCACCCTCCTGGGCTCAGTACACTCCTCCATATTTCCACACTAGGCACAAACATTCATTTTACTGAATTCTGCCGTTCTGTTTACTTCATATGACTGTTTCTGTTTATCTCACCTTCTAGGCTGTGACTTCCTCGTTGATGCCATGTTTGCCTCTGGCTCATGGAATGAATGGAGCTTGGCACATAGTAAGCATTTGTGGTATGAAGTATGAATCAATGCTGATACCAAATATATTATCTGTACTGAATGTATGTGCCAGAGAGAGACAGGTAAATTAGTAGGGATGAGTGATCTATACATAAAGAATAATTGGAAAAGTAGAAGGGAATCTTGGAGAAAACCTGTAGATGTTGATCTTTTCCCAAAGGGGGGGAGCACAGAGAAAGGAGGCACCAAAGATAACTTCACTAACATCAATTATGTCTGTCCTGTATGTCAGGTTTGGTAAGCTCCAATGAGAGATATAACAATAAGAGTAGGAGGATATACAGGAAAAGTGAGTAAAGGCTTTTACAATATGACATCATGAGAAAAGTAAGTAACTATTCTAAAATTAACCTGACTAATGGATTGAAATATCATTCTGACCATTTGCTGAACAATAAATGACAATATTATTATATTGCAAAATCTGAAAACAAGCACTATATATGACATGTACATTGTATATGACAAAATATGAACTATACCTGAGATCTTCAATTTCTTTAATGTAACTGTGAATCATATTACTAATCTCTTCATTCCCTTCACCTACAAAATAAAAATAAAATGAAATATTTCTTTTAAATTAAGACTTCAACAAAATAGAAAAAGGGGGAGAAAAAACAAGGTTATAGAAACAAAATGATAATGTACACAATTCTTATAGCAAGTAGTCTACTCTTAAACAAGCAGACAGTAAAACAGATGGTAAAGCAAACAGTATATTTTGTTTAACTAATAACTTATTATAAAAATAATTAGGCATTTAACTAATAATGCCAGACTAACACATTTTGGCATATTTCCAGAGGCACGTGGTTTAGGAAGTGGATGATACTCTTGTTTCCGAACTTGTCTTAAGCTAGGAGCTCCAACAAACACTGTTCACCATGGCAACCATTAAGGCATTTGACACCGCAATGGCAGAAGGTTCAGTATCACAGTGAACCCAAATTCCCTCAGTACAGCAAATTGACAAAAGAGTGCTGTACAACTTAGAAGAATGTTCCTCCAAAATATAATAGCACAAGGCCTAAGGGCCAAGGACAGAGGGCCCTCCAGGATGTCTTGTTGCCACTAAACATGAGGTGTTAATAAAAAACAACCAGATATTCCATGTGACCCTCAGCCAAAATGAGCACATAGATCTTACTGAGTCCTGCATTGTCACCCAGGCTCCAAAATGGAGACAAAGGGCTCACCTTAAAAATAAAGATGCTCCAGGATATCTTGTTGACACTAAACAAGAGACTTAAATCAAAAACAACCAGACATTCCACCCGACTCGCAACCAAAATAAGAGTACCCATCTTACAGAGTCCTGCTGGTCAAATTTTGGCATATCTAAGTCATTAACAACACAAAGCATGTTCTGGGCCCCTCATTCATCCCACACTATGCACATACCTGCTCTAGCAAGAACTTGGTTGGCCTGATCACTAACAAGCTGTGTGATTCTAGTCCTCAAAGCATCAACTGTCTCTTGCATGGCTTTGATTCTTACACGCAGATTATTATTTTCAGTCTGTAGCATAGCATTTTCATGAAACATGTCATTGATGCTTTCCACTCCCTCCTCATCAATTATTCTTTTGCCCTAGAAAAGAAAACATTTTTCTGCTAGTTGAGGAGCCTTACATATGCATGCATTTTGTGAAAAGATAGAGCAGACCCATGCAATTCTATTATAAAAGTCCCTTTATCTGGTAAGTCCCCAAAGCAAAAAGAAAAAAAAAAAGATCCCCTTCTCTCTACTACAATTTTCCATCAAGAATTTGGTAATAAAGGAACTCATTGGATAGAAAGCCTTTTAAAACAAGATGTATTTTATGGTGGTCAAGGCTACCCATAAGGATAGACTAGAGAGGCCGATTAGCAAACAAAGGAGTCCATTACTAAAAGAGTTGAAAATTCCAGAAACACACATATGCAAGAGATCATAAAAAAGCACCGTGTTCATGATATATGCCCATATTCTCTTTTCATTGCTGTCAAATTAGAACCAACTCATACATGACTTTCCACCATGTTTTTGGAGGCAATAATTCTCCTGGGAGGAGACAGCCCATTTTCCCCCCACAAAGTGTCTAGTCAATTCAAAACTTTGAGTTGGCAGTGAAACCACGCACAAGGGCTCCAGAGTTGCCTAGATACAGATAGATAGATAGATAGATAGATAGATAGATAGATAGATACATACATACATACATACATACATACATACATACATACATACATACATACATAAATTGTAAAGTCAGACTCATCAGCTTACTGTTTTGTACTCCATGAGCTCCATCTGAAGTCTTGTGATCTCACTACGAAGTGCATTGATTTGCTGACTAGCTCTGTCCTGATTGACCATCACCTTGTTCTTGATATTTCTAGCTCGATTGGCATATTTCAGAGTGTTTAAAGTTTCCATAAAGTCTCTGTCAGAAGGGCTGACACATGCTATCATGATTGTTTGGCTGAAAGTTACAAAATACAATTAGATTTACAGACAAAAAAGAAATTAAACACACAATAGCAAAGAAATGGACATAGCCTACGTGCTAATTAGTGGAAGAATGGATAAACAAACTATGACATTACAATGGATTACTTTGGAACATTAAAGAAAAGAAAGAAGCTATGAAACACCTTGTCATGTAGATGAATCTAGAGGACATTATGCTGAAGGAAATATGTCAAACACAAAAGGGCAAATATTGTATGAGTCTCCTACTATAAAAAAATTTTTCAAGGAAAGGTTCTTACACAGAAAGAAACATTCCTTGATAGTTATTAGAGATAGGAAAGGAAAAGAGAGAAAATCACTAACTAGTTAAGAGACATATGTTAAATTAGCTGCAGTGAATATAGAATATACAAAAGTGAATATGCAATATACGAAAAGGGGGTGACCAGTACATTATCAATAGAAAAAAAGGAAGAGAAAGAGGAGTTCACAAGAATTACAAATCACAAAGGCAAATAGTATTATAAACTTACTCTTGCGTTATCAGTAATAACAAACACTAATGGATATATAAGCAGGCAGGCAAGGTGAACAAGATTACAACTAGAACCATACAGGTTTGGCAGGTGATGTTTTTACATATGTATTTGTAACTACTATAAATAGATCCATGTATATAATAGAGAAAACAAAGGGCAAAGCTTTGAAAAATCCTGTTAATCAATCCATCACTTTATGAGTAGATTCCTTCAACTTTTGCCTTTCCCCATTAATCTCAGTATCACATTCACAGTGACACTTATAAAGCAGTACAATCTACTGTGCTATTTTTTTTAACTTTATGTGCTCATCTTCATCTTTAGACCCAAAACCGCATTGTCATGAAATTGAAACTTACATAGCTGAACTCTATCATATTTTCTGAAGCTGAAAATTTTCTCCCATGGAGCTGATAGATTAGAACTGCTGCCTTTGAGTTAGCATTGCAGTTCCCTATGAACTATGTCACTGGAGCTTACTAGTTCTTTATTCATATTTATTACAACTATTACACAAGATTAAGCACTAGCAACATTTAGTCAAAGGACCTAACAACCCTTATTCTGACTGTACCCTTTTTCTGTTCTTTCTCACACCCTTTGCCTATCTCTCGTCTATTAATTATACTGTTATTTCAAGTCGACATTTTCTTTCCCCCTCTCTCAACACTTGGACTTTTAACTCCTAGAGAATGAGTATAATCCAGTTTTATTCATCATTTTACATCTTTGTACATTGCACAACATTTGAAATGTATTAGATCTTTAGTCTTATTCAGTATGTGTCATGTGTACATACTTACTATGTACACATATTGGAGATCAGAAAGTTAGTATAATTTATATCTCTGACTTTCTTTGTGGGTAATCAAAAGTGGGAAAAAAGTGAGAGCAGAAATCAGAGACGCTCAACAGAGAAGGCCATTCAAAGTATGGTGTTCAGACCAGTGTCAGTCTGTGAACTATTTGTTCCTTGTACCTGCCGAGATAATAATAAAATATACAAGTAAGCAAAGAACCTTAGAAATCTTTACAATATGTGAAGTTACTGTAACCAATGGACTCATCACATTAAGTAGGGTGTGACTAAGTCTAAATGTTTCCAAACTCATATAAGGGGTCATAAATGGTATAGTCAGAATAAGACATGTAGGATATCATGTACATGTCAAATATTAAGGGGGGAAATTCACTTTTTATAAATATTTTGAGAAGCATTAGGACCAAGTGCTTAAGGAGAAATGGTGAAATTTACATAGAACCATCAAGATTAACTATATTAGGAAAAAGTAGCATATTAAACAAACTAAAAAGATATAAGGTTCAAGTATAAGTCTGATATTTTAAAGTGACAATAACTAAATAAAACATTGAATCTGCTTATTTTGAAAGTTGATATAAAATCCTGATTCTAATTTAAAGAAAACTGTACTATTAAAATACCTGTATAAGTATATATGTGTTTGTGTATGTGTGTATACATTCAAGTACATATATTTATATACTATACATGTATTATATTGAATCATATTCTTGGAAAGAAATATTTAATAATATTAGTAATAGTTACTTCTAGTAAATAGAAACACAATGAATTTTTACTGGTAATTTACTTTTGAATGTCTTCCAGAATTTTTCCTCAGAATGTATTAAAATGTGATATAAAACATTAAAGAATAAAAATTGTTTTTAGAAGTTATTAAATTATCCACATAAGTATATGAAGTTTGTTTCCAAAAATACATCAACTGTTTTTCATTTAAGTTTACTTTGCATAAACTTCATAAAATGAAGGTAGCTTGCTCTGCATAACTTAAAGTATATTCTTTTAAACTATGAGTCCTTGTCTGAAAATTGAAGCAAGAAATTAGCCTAGTAGTAAGAAACTGCACTGCAATCCCAAAGGCACACAGCTCTAATTCACCAGCTCCTCAGTGGGAAAAGATGGACAATCCCCTCCCTTGGGATTTACTTTCTCTGAAAACCTGCTGGAGAGTCAGCTATGGGTCAGTTCTGACTCAACTGTACACAATAGTAACAATAAGAATGGAAATAGGAAGGGGTCTTCTCCTATGAGGAATTACCACACTTGAAAAATAAAACAAGTGGGGAGCATCTAAGATGATTTTACAACAACCTAAAACTCAAGGTTATTAAAAATAAACAGTGGGAAAAAAAATTAAAAACCCAGAGGCTGATTAGAGAACAAGCAATCTTTCAAAAGTATTGAGATCTGTAAGGGTATATTTGTTTCTCAATTACAAAATAAAAAATAAGAAATGGCTACAATAGAGAAAACTTGAAAATTTTTGCATTGGCTTGAAAACAAGAGTCTAGATATTTCAATTTGACTCATATTGACATTAAAGATAATACTGAAAAAATAAAACAGAAATAAATATGCAATAATGGAAACAAAATTGCATGCATATACAGAGTATGTTAGAAGAAAGATAAGACATCAAATAAAAAGAAGAGACAAAAATGTATCTGCTTATAAAATAAAATTTTACAAACATGATTTCAAATCTGACTAGATTTAACATTATCCAAAATTCTTTGAACAGCTATCAAAAAGAAAGCTCACAAGTTTAATAACCAAGTCATTGTACAGCATCAAATGACCTTTCCAGTCAACATGATTTTGTGAGACTGTTAAAAACATTGTAAAATAAATGTGTAGTGGTTCTTTATAACTTGTTAAGTTGTGCTATGCTTAAAATTACAAGCCAAAAATGTTTCTATCTGGGAAGCCAAAATGTTGATGTTTATAGAAGGGAATGCATTACCAAAGGGATGACTTAGCTGATAAAGCATATTAGAATGCTGCAAAGTATGCAAAAGAGGGAATATTAGCAATATGAACAAATAACCAGGGAAGTTATTATATTCAGTTGACATTTTTCAAAAGCTTATCCACATAAAAATATTTGAATTTTTCATAGGCTTTGTAGAAAACCATCAATAAATCATTTCAAGTATTTTGGCAAAACTTAGAGAACATTTTTTTTCCCAAATTTTACCAAATGTCTCCTAAGTGCTATTCAGTTAAAGCAGAAAAGATAACAAAATCAGAAAAGGACATGCTAGGGACTTCATTTTAAAGATAAGCTACTTTGAAAAAATTACTAAACTCTTCTGAATCTTAATATCCTTATTAAATAGGAATAATAGCACCTTCCTCAAGAGATATTAGAAGGACTAAAGGAGATAAGAACATGCAAAATGACTCATATTTTAGAATATTTAATAATTATTGGTTCTTCAGTCTATTAGTTTGCTCTGTGATAAAATAAATTCTTATAAATCACCTTGCAAACCCACTTATAAACAAATTCATAGTGGAAATATAGGCATATAAAGAATAAAAAGGCAAGCATACCTATTGCCCCCAAGGGAATCCTGTAGCAGCCTGGTGAGCTTGGAATCCCTGTAGGGCACATGGGTGGCCCTTTTGCTCTTATCTCCCAATGCACTTATTACATTGCCAAGTGCCAACTAAAAGAGAGAAAAATGAAAGTGATCACAAATGATCAATTATAACACTATTAAGGGAAGAAAACAGATGATAACAGGGAGAAATAACAGAAATCAATAACATCCGTGTTTGATTTTGCTTTATATTTATATTTTACAGTGTAACTTCATGTTTCAGTATTAACTATTAAAATCTAATACATTCAAAATTCAATAGTGTATGTATATGTCTATAGCTCAAAATTTAGTATATATTGCATCTATACTTGAAACTTCCTATCAAATATTTTCTTTAGAAATAAAAAAAATGCGCAATATGGAAAAATGTTAACCACCACTAGATTTCTAAGGACCTCAGATGTATTCCTAGAAAATTCTCAGTTCATATTGTAAATACTCCTCAACTCAATAAAAAACTAAATGCTCTGTTAATTCAACAGCTGCATAAAGCTCTTGTTCCAATATGGTTTCTTATGGGAAAACAGAATCTTCTTAAACCACAATAAAAATGATAACATTTCTCTATACAACATATCCTTAAGCAAATATAGCTTTACTTAGAAATACGATCTTTGTGCCATGTTTCAAATTTTTAAACTTAAGTAAGTCAAATTACAGATTTCTCCAGACACCCTATCCTGCCATCCCTACTGTTTTCTCTACTTTTACTGGTCATACCAGCCTTTAGAAAAGCAAACATCCATAAACAAATCTCTGTTTGGGCCAAAGAATCATGCAGAGTGACATCAGTATCACACCGTATCTTGGTCTCTTTTCCCACAGTGGCTATTGTATTAATCACTGTCTACACTGAAAGTACTATGTCTTAACATGCTTTAAAATTCTAAACACAAAAAGAGAGAAATGACTTTTGTCTTTTCCTGATAACATAAATGCAAATACTAGCATTATTTTACCTAAGAAATTAAAAACAATACATACCAGTAAATAATCTAAATCATGACATTTAACTCAATATTTAACCTTATGGTCTGGGCATTAAAATGAGTATTGGAATTGGGAGGTCCCTTTATTTCTAATAAGCCTCTATTGTTAATTCTTCTCAGAGAAGAGTTGTAATTAAATAAACATTGCTTGCCCCTATAGGAGCAAACACTGGACAATGTCAGATAAAAGAGCCAGGACGGGAAGAAATGTACCAAAGCAGGAACAAATATCTCACTTTATAATGAAGATAATAAGCAGATATATGACACAGAAGTCTGTTCCAAAACATTTTCTTTCATGTAACAGAAGCTTTATAAGCTTTATACAAAGTATTTTCCAATCGAAATACCACTAGGGGGCATGGTATTAAAGTTAACTTCTAATACAATCTCAAAAACTCAAGTCCATTGCCATGGAGTTGGAACTACTCAAAGATAACACTCTACCAGGTTTTCGGACGCTGTAAATCACATTGGAGGCTGCACATCTTTCTGCATGGAGCACGTAATGGATTTGAGCTGTCAGAGAGGTGCTACCTTAGGTTAACAGAGCACCTCCTCACAGACTGCACCAACAGGCTCCCTAGTATAATCCTGAAAAGTTATTTTAAACCATCATTTTATTATAATTTCTCAAATGACTAAAACAGCTACTACAAAATGTCAGCAAAAAGTTACCTGAAAAAAATCATATGCCATGAAAAGCTTAAAATAAGATTAAATGTATTTTATAGTATAGTTCATAAGGTGGGGGAAAATTTTAATTAAATTCTAGATATCATTTTCTGCACATTTCATAAAATTCACTCTAATTATATTATCACACAGGAAAAAATCCTGGGTTAAGGTCTGTAATGTGAGATCAGATTTAGCGTACTACTTGTAAGCTTACAAGTTTTTTAGTCCTCTACTCTGTGCAATAGGATTTTCATTAGGGCATTGTGTGTTACAAAAGAGGAAAGGACAGCACCACAAAGCTTCTGTCTTACCAGCCCACAGTTGATAGAAATGCCTTCTTTTGCCCTCTCGCCTGTAGCTCCAGTACGCTTCAATCGTTCTGATCCTGCCAGATCAACAAAATGGAACTTTGCAGTCAGGGTCTCAAACTCATTCATCTGTGATGACTCAGATAGCATCTTATTATCGGTCACATTTTCCTGCGATGGGAGTATACAAATGAAAATATTTTCTTAACGTGACAATAAAAATCCTCCAAATCTGCATTGTTCTCATCCCACATATATAGGTGCAGCCACAGGAAAAATTAAAATGTACAGTTAAATAAATGTAAATGCAAAAATGTCTGTGGACAATTAGAAACTTAAAGAAAGAAGCTGAATGGTGAGAACCAGCTGTTATCAAGCGACACTTTGCTAATACTTATAAAAGCAAGCCTGTAGGACATTAGTTTTCAGCAGCAAAAGATTTCAGGTGACTATATCCAGTCCAGCAGATGGCTGCAGCATGCTTCTGGTGGCTGCAGACAGAAATTCAATTTATTAAAAAAATTTTATAAGGTTGGCCACCTTTGGTATAAATAGAATCAGAAGATATCTCACCAGAAAAATAAATGACTAAGCAAACGGATTTGGTTCCGATGTACACTCTTGAAATCTATGTGACATTAGGGAGAAGAAATCTGATAGTTATCAGAACTAGTAACTCACAGCATCTATCTGTGGGCACATTCTGGTTTGACATAAGTGAATAGTAAAAATGGCATGTGAACGAGAGCTCTGAACATTCATCTGGGTGCTAGCAGTGGTCCGAGACAAAGCACCCAACTTCAAGCACTGCATCATCTGAAAAAAGAAGAGAGAAGTGTTTTGCTTGAACAATATTTAAATAAGATGCAGTTTAATCAGTAGTCTAAATTATTAAACTCATTACATTAAAAAATATGAAATATGTGAATTATCATATTACTATTTTAGCTACAGGCAGTTCTGGAGTTGAACTTTTCAATATAAGAGTGTATTGTTTTTTTCTTAAATAGAAGAAAACACTGAGATGCCTTTGTTTGCCACTTGCTGACATTTGCAGCTTCCATTCCCAAAACTTTTACACTGGAACACTTTGCTACAAATTAAGCATTAACTTGCATTATTCTGGGTCTGCTATATCTTTGTTTGAATTATATTTTGGTAGTTTTTCTTATTAGTTCTCATTTAGAAGCAATAATGTAGCCCTATATCTGTGGCAGCAAAAGGATACTGATACTGTTTCTCCACCTACACCTTCAATTATCTAACCTTCTTTCTTTTTTTTTTTAAAAAATTTTTTTTTCTAACCTTCTTTCTTGAACTCTAAAAGAAAACTAGATGCAGACTCTTAGGTTCTTTTGATGTTACTATAAACATACTAATTTTATTACAGTCCTGACACTTTCAATAAAATTCTGATCTACAAAGATATGAGAAACAAGGGAGATATTCTTTACTGAGATAGACTACTCTCTAGTCTAAAGAGGACTCAAGGAGACATTTATCTTGTTAGCTTAAAGATTTCTATCAGGGCAATAATCTTGGCTATTCATCCAGCCTCCACAACTCCAGGAAGTCTGGCTGCCATTTGAATCCTAGATGAATTTTAACTTCTCTTTAGCATTTTCTGAAAAGATAAATTTTCTACAGGGTTCCTCTAAGTCAGAACAATGGAATAATATGCTCAAGGGATGAATATGCTTAAGGATACAAATCTTATATCTTAAGTATCTTAAGTATGCTATTAGCTATGGTAACTGTTTAAACTAAGCTAAATAGGCTCAATTTTAAAAATAACTTACCTCTGATTCTGTATTCACATTGCGTGTTGTGACACCAACAGTATAAATTCCTCCAGTTGAATCTTCATGAATTCTTATATTTGACTTTTTATTTTTAGCATCAATATCACGAGTAGTATCAAATAGGTCAAGAACTTCTTCATTATACAACTAACAAAAAATAATTATGTTAATTTTAGCAGAAATTTTCTCATGTTTGTCACAACACAAAATATAGAAATACCACTTCAAAGAGATTTCTTTTTGTTCAAAATGATACCTATTTTCTTAAAAATAATTAATACTCCAAACAGAAATCAAAGTTTGATTTATTTTAAACGACTGGGGAATAGTAATTGACTTATTCATGACTAATTGGCTGGGGACTAACTAAAATGAACTACTAGCCCTTTACAAAGGATACACAAACATTTAAAAGCAATGTCGAGAAAATATGTGCCAAATATAGGCAAATTCTAAGCTTATTTATTTGACATAAATATATTCTCCATTTTGCATTGCAATCTCTCTTACACGTCTAAAAAAGATTCTTAGCCTTTTTATAAGGTTAATAGTGAAAGTATTATATCAAATTATAAATTATATCAAATATGAAATGATAATGGCTAAGAAAATCAAGCTGCCTCCTTTGAAGATGCATACATCTATTTTCGTACCAATATGTATTAAAGTCACAATGCTTTAAAAACGTTTTGGAACATGAAAGGATGGGTAGCAGAACATGTCTTCTTTTATTTTTTCCACCTTCGACTTTTACTAGATCTGGAGACTTCATTAAAACCAACAATAAGAAATCTGGTATCACTAATACTACTTTGAATTACATTTTCTATTTTGTGTTCAACACTGCCAAATAAAATACCTTATCAGGAAGCAAAATTATTAATTCATATATCAGATGAACTATATTTGACCACTCTTTGCAACAAAGACTCAGAATTATAATGTCACCTTTCACCTAGCTATAATAGTTGTCATCCTACGGGATGACATACTGTCCTTAATCAACCCAAACATGATTCAGCCTTTGGACATTATATCAAATCATCTTGTTCTCCTCATAAAGAGGCCAGCTTCTGCAGCCAGATTAGTGCCACAACCTCAAACCTATTATTCCTCATCGTCTCTCCTCTCTCTGCTCTGAGTTGCTAAGCTCCCAAAAGACTGCCTAAATTACAAGAGTAATTATAGAGGATAAAGAGAGATTCTAACATAAATGACTGTTCTTTTACTCTATGCACACCTGTCAAGTGTTGATAATCTTAAATGTTAACGCCATTTCCTGCAATAAAGACTACATACATCTATTATCTAAAGTTAGTCAAACAACATTTATTGAGTACTATGTGTCAGACAACATGTATAAGACACTGTACTAGAAGCCAGAAGTATATCCTCACAAGGGTTAATAATGGTCTTAAGAACAAGACTTAAAGGAAACATCACAATTTCTCTTACCTCCAAGAATTGGGCATTCACTTTAAAATCTGGAGGAGGAAGTCCATTTTTAATTGCAGTGTGTTTTTTCTCTTCAATACTTTTGAAAAGGTGTTTAACAGCACGGGAAATAATGCCCTGTTCTTCCTCAGTGATGTTAACATCAAATCCAGTTCCCATTGTATATGTTTTCCCAGCTCCAGTCTGAATAAGAGTATAGAGGAAAATTAGTACTTGACTAAAATGAGTGAAAAAGTTTCTCTCAGGAAAAAACAAAAGTGCAACGGAATTGCTCCTTCTCCACAGTTACAGCTTATATAATGATAATTTAGTACTTACTTGCCCATAAGCAAAAACTGTGGCATTGTATCCTTCAAAACAACCTTCTATTAGTTTTTCTATACAATGAGAGTAGATCTGCTCTTGCTGAGAATCAATGTCAAACACATAATCAAAAGTAAAGGCCTTGTCCTTCCCAAGGAAGACCTGGGGTTCTCCTGGCGTGACAGATGTACAAATATGGCATCCTTCAATTTTTTCTTTGGCAAGCTGTGGTCTTATTCTGTGGAATATAGGCAGAAAAAAAAAATATAAACTACATAAGTTGCACAAAAATAAGAAAGAAAATAAAAAGTAAGACTTAAAATATCTTTGTTAAATCTTTTAAAAATTTTAATGCTTCTTCAGCTGAAACATCAAAATTAATTATGCTGAATACTTTAGTGTGAGTTACTTTATAACTCTCCAAAATCGTGGATAAAAATTTACCTTGAAATGTGTATGTAAATGAAAGAATGCTTTTCCTCAACTACTAAGTAGACATTTATCTAAAGAAATGTTTGTTGTTGATGTTGTTTTATGTTCCTTTTCTTTATCCCCAAAGAAGATGATATCCAAAAATTAAAACTTAAGTACATAATATTTCTCTTGGTGCTCTTGTTACACCATTTCAGCAAATTTGTTATCCTTGGTTTCCAGATTTATCTTATCATTTTCTTCTACCAGTACATGTATTACTCCAATACTTTATAACTAGCTACATCCATGGACTCTAGGGAGTTCTAGTGGCCTAGTGACAAGAAGCTGTGCTGCAATCCTGGAGGGACATGGTTCAAAGCCACCAGATCCTCCACGGGTGAAGGATGGGCAATCTACTCCTGTGCAGTTAACTGCCTCTGAAGACCTGCTGGAGGGTCAGCTATAGGATGGTTCCAACTCTACAGTACAACATCCATGGACTGTAAGAAACCCACACCACATACTTTTGGAAACTCAATGCTCTTTCTCTAACTTACACCCTTCTTTCCCTATTCTCCTTACAGAGTCATGAAGTAGTAGGAATCAAAATAAACCTCTGTTTCTCATTGAGTGAATCACATTATTCCAACTATTGCCAAGATAGTAACCAATGAATTAACTTTTGTTTGTCCCTTTCCTTTATTTCACATATTCCAGCTGCATGAGTTATTAATCTCCCGAATCACCCTTGAACATACCCACCTCACGTAACCACCACCCTAACCGAGACTACCATTATCGCTTACCTAGATTATTGCAAAAGCCTCTCCCCAATCTGTCCTATGGTTTGCAATATCAGGGATCTTGATAAAATATCAAGTTGGTCAGGTCCCCACTTTGCATAAATGCTTTCAATACATCCCCAAATCTTTCTGCAATCACTTTATTTCCCCCACCCTCCATACTCCAATGTTGCATTAAAAGGCTTTTGTTGCTATTTGTGGTGGTTTGTTTATTTTAAATCCAAGTCACTAAAATGTCATGCTTTCTCTTGCCTCAGTGACTTCAAATGTATTGTTCCCTTTTTTTTTTTTTAATAATTTTAATGTGCACTTACAGAGATTTTGGATTTCCATTCATTCATTGCTGCACTTTTCTCCCCACCCATCCCTTCCCCTCCCCCAGTTCACTCCTCTCTTTCAAAAGTAAAAGAAACACTCCTTCCCTGGTACACAATCCCCCTGCACCCCTCCCACCACCCCAGGTACATTCCCCAAGTACTATGCAACCGTAATCGTGGACTCTTGTGATAACCCTATCATACATCACTTTTAAATTATTCCATCATCTGTTTCAGTGCAGGATATACAATTTATCCAGTTTTTCTCAGTCTTATCCCAATATTGTCCCCTTTTCTATCCTCTATAATATTTCTAATAAGAAGCTCTGATGGCATAACACAGAGTGTGTTATCTCCTAACCAGCAGAAGCTATAGGTTTAGCAGTTTAATTCCAGCAGACCCTCTGAAGGTGAAAAATGGACTGTCTCCTCTCAGAAACATTTACCTCAGAAATTTAATGCAGGGTTACTCTGAATAGGAATCAACTCAATGACAGTGATTTTTTTTTTTGTTTCATTCTCAACATATTTTTGTCAATCTTAATGGTTCATGGTTTTCAGTGCCATTAACATAAGCTTCCATCAGAAGCTCTCATTATTCCCTAATAGGAGTGAGGTGACAACCATGCTCTATGTTCTCACAGCACACTGATATAGAATTTTAAAAAAAAATCACACACTCAGTTTAAGAAAACTTGCATGAGCAACCCATGTATCTAACCATGTATCCATATATCTGTAGGCTAATGGCTAAAGAAACTGTAGCATAATAAATTACCCATCACTAAAGAATGATCAAGAATTGGTAAAATATAGTACAACATAGGTGGAAATTAGAACAAATTATGTTGAGTGACCTGAGTTAGTCACAAAACGACAGTTATGGTCTAAGACTCTAATACAAAAAGTTAAGAAGTGCTTCACACACAGAATCAATCCTGGAAGGCTAAAAAAGATAAGAAATGAGGGAGATGTGAAAAAAAGAAAATACCTGCCAAGTCTAAAAAAGATAAACTCTAGATTTTTATATAAAGAAATATAGTACACTTGGCCAGCATTTTCATTTCCACTGTTCAATAGGGCGCTCCGGTGGCTGAGTAGTAAGTAGTTGGGATGCCAACCAAAGGCACCCAGTTTTAATCCAGCAGCTGCTCCTCAAGAGAAGATGAGCAAATTTCCTCCCACAGATTATTTATTGCTTCTGAAAACTCGCTGCAGGGTCAGCTATGAGTTGATTCCAACCTGATGCTACACAACAACAAAAATTGAGGAAAATTTAGCAGAGGGAAAAAAAATTATGTGGTCCTTAGTGGTCACTCTCTCTCTCCCTATGATGGAAACAGTAAATCTATCTACCAGTAAAGAGATACCCGAATAAAACAAGAGAATATGCCAGAGATGTAAATCTGCCTTTATAATTCTATCATTTACTAGAATATGTGTATATTCATTTAAAAAACAAAAGGCAAAATTCACTGCCACTGAGTCAATTCCAACTCATAACAAACCTCCAGGTACAACTGCCCCACAGGGTTCCCAAGGGGTAAATCTTTACAAAAGACTATCATCTTCCTCTCACAATATGGATTGTGGGTTCAAAACGCTAACCTTCTAGTTAACAGCTGAATGCCTTCACGAGAACACCATCAGAGTTCCCTGCTAAGGGAGCTCCCTGCTCCCATTAAGGCTGTAAGTCTTTACAAGAGGAAACCGGGCAATTATCTCCTATGAAGTAACTGGTAGTTTTGAATCTCAAACCTTTATGATTGTAATGTAACTTGCTATCTCCTAGGCCATTAGAGTGCCTCTGTATATTGATAATCAGTTGAAAATGTTGATGAAAGAAAAGAAATAAACCGAGAATAGAAAATACAGCATCCTCAAATCCTACATTTAATTTTAATATATTCATGAACAACACTGTTGTTGTTATGTACCGTCAAGTCACCTGCGACTCATAGTGATAGTACATTAGTTTTCAAATATGTCCTATCCTGAACCAATCTCATCAACTCCAACAGATCTAATCCCATTTCTCCAGTCACTTGGTGAATCCATCTCATCCTGGGTTTTCCTCTCCTGTGCTGTGCTGTGCCTCCACCCTTCCAAGCATGATGTCCCTCTCCAATGACTGGTCCCTCCTGGCCATGTGCCCAAAGTGTGCAAGACAGAGCTTCAAAATCCTTGCTTCCAGGGAGCAGCCTGGTTTTACCCTCTCCAGAACAGACATGTTTGTGTTCCTGGCTGTCCAAAATATGTTCAAAGTTCTTCTCCTGTACCACAACTCAATGGCATCAATCCTTCTTTTATTGTCCTTAATTATTGTCCAGCTTTCAGATGCATGGCAAGTAACTGCAAAGACTATGACCTGGATCAGACACACCTTAGTCTCCAGACTGACTTTATTGCTCTTCAGTTCTCTAGAAAGGTTCCTGACAGCAGACTTGCCCAGTGCACGTCATATTTAGATTTACTGACTGCTGGTGTCAACATGTTGATTATGGAACCAAGCAAACTGAGGTTTCCAACAATCTGAATCTCTTCTCTGTCTATCATGAAGTTGTCAATTGGTCCACTGGTGAGAATCTTTGTTTTCTTGATGTTGAGCTTCAATCCATATTGAAGACTACACTCTTTGACCTTCTGCAGCAAACATTTCACGTCCTTTTCAGTTTCCACAAGCAAGGTTGTGCCATCTGCTTAATACAGGTTGTTGATGAATCTTCCTTCAATCCTGATGCCATCTTCTTCTTCATAAATTCCAGCCTCCTGAATGATCTGTTCCTCATATATATTGAAAAGGTATGGAGATAGAATGCATCCCTAATGCAGATCTATCTTGATGCTGAACCATATTTTCTTGCTCTGTTCTGAGGACAGACTACTTCTTGGTCCAAATATAGGTTTCACATGAGCACGATTACATTTTCTGAGATCCTCATTCTTCTCAACAATTTGTTGTGATCCACACAGTCAAATACCTTTGCATAGTCAGTGAAACACAGACATTCATTCTGCTGTCTGCTTTCAGTCAATATCCATCTAATGTTGGCTGTGATGTCCCTAGTCCACAGCCTCTTCTAAACCCAGACTCTACATCTGGTGGTTCACCACTGCTGTACTATTCCAGTTGTTTCTGGATAATATTCAGCAGGATCTTGAATGCAAGAACAACATTAGCCCACTAAAAATAGAAGTATACCTAAATAACAAGTTTAGTTCTACAAAAAAGAAAAACTATGGTACAAGGAAAACACTACAACAGTTCTAAAGTACTGATTTGTATACTTTCCCCACTTTAAGAGAAAACAAATCCTCCACCACAGAAATCTGCTAACCATCATCAGATCCAACTGGCTATTTTATTTATACTTATCATAAAAAATAAAACCCACAGCTGTTGTTGTTGTTGTTGTTGTTGTTGTTGTTAGATGCCATCAAGTTTGGTATTACTCATAGTGACCCTATGAACCACAGATCTGAACCCTGTCTTATCCAGTGCCATTGCTGCAGTCACTGTGTCAATCTTTCTCAGTGGGGGAGGTTTCCTTTCCTTTGCTTATCCTTCACCTTTCTAAGCATGATGTTCCTTTCCAAGGAACAGCCTCTCCTAGCAACATTTCAAAGTATGAGAGACAGAGTTTCAACCATCTTTGCCTCCAGGAAGCACTCTGGCTACACTTTCTCCAAAATATAGCTTTGTG